AACTGGTGGAGCAGTACACGAAGGTGAACTACAAGATTCAGCCTGAACCTGATCCAGTGGTCTGTGCTACTGTTTAGATGTTAATTACACTTTAATCTCTCAATCTTTTAGATCCTAATCCCTCCCAAAGGCCTGCTGATCAAACTTAAAAAAGAAGCTGAGAACCCAAAGGAAGTTATGGACCAGGTAATTTCTTATAAGTGGAAAACTGAAAGAAAATCATTGCGGATTTCCCCTGTTAATTGATTGCGTTCGGATCCAAAAATCAGGTGAGGTACCGAGTCGAATGGGCAAAATACCAGGAGCGTGAGAGAAAGAAGGAGGAAGAGGAGAGGGAGAAGGAACGGGTCGCTTACGCCCAAATAGACTGGCATGATTTTGTGGTGGTGGAGACGGTGGATTTCCAGCCCAATGAACAAGGTAGTATATCAGCAATTAGTTTTTGCATGTAAGCTGGAAAATTAGTCGTTTTGACTTTATTTGCTTTTGTTTTTCTTCCCTCAAGGTCACTTCCCTCCACCCACGACACCAGAGGAGCTCGGCGCTCGCATCCTGATCCAGGAGCGCTACGAGAAATACGGAGAAAGCGAGGAGGTGGAGATGGAGGTGGAGAGTGAGGATGAAGAGGATGAACGAGAGAAGCGGGCCGACGGCCAGCCTTCACAGCCTGATCAAGACACACAAGTCCAGGACATGGATGAGGTGAGAACTTAGCAGAGGAGTCAGGCAGAACCTGAAGAAGCCCATTTGTACCAATTTTAGATGGAATAAAGTTTGCTGTGTACATTTTTGTAGAAATCTACAAAGCATGTTGCCAGTGCATGACTTGAAAATAGTACTTTTAAAAGATCTGCTTTAACAGAATTTTCCATGCGTTTCTTCAGGGATCTGATGACGAAGATGAAGGTGTGAAGGCTCCGTTGCCACCAGACAACCCGATGCCACCCCCGCTGCCTCCAGCTCCAGAACAGGTCATTATTCGCAAGGACTACGACCCAAAAGGTAATTCACTCATTTATATCTTAGTTTACTTTAATCCAAATAATTGTTTCAGCCCTAATGTAAAAACTTTTATTTAAACTCTGTGATGCAGTTGATTTTTGTGGTGATTTCAAGAGTGAGAGGCATAATGACAGTTTTTCTTTTCTCGAGTGAACAAAGGGAAAAGTGATGATAAAAACTCATTACAATCATTTTGGTAGTAGATTGTATGAATAAAGTCTGTAGGAGGACTGGAAGCTGATCAAACTCGTGTTATTTTGCCCTTGCAGCTTCCAAGCCGCAGCCCTCAGTTGCAGCTCCAGGCGAATACCTTATTTCACCAATCACCGGTGAGAAGGTCCCCGCCAGTAAGATGCAGGAGCACATGCGCATCGGCCTGCTGGATCCACGCTGGCTTGAGCAGAGAGACCGAAGCATTAGAGACAGGCAGACGGAGGACGAAGTCTACGCTCCCGGTTTGGATATCGAGAGCAGCTTGAAGCAGCTCGCCGAGAGGCGTACTGATATCTTTGGTGTGGAAGAGACGGCCATCGGAAAGAAGATCGGCGAGGAGGAAATTCAGAAACCAGAAGAAAAGGTAGGAATAGCTGTTAATTCAAAAATCTCAAAACATGAAATCATGGCAGGTTTTTTTTTTTCTTAAATATGAACAGTTTGTGGTTTGTTTTTATATTTTTCTGCATTTTTGTTGTCCTGCAGGTCACCTGGGACGGCCACTCGGGGAGCATGGCTCGTACGCAGCAGGCGGCGCAGGCCAACATCACTCTGCAGGAGCAGATCGAAGCCATTCACAAGGCCAAAGGGCTGGTGGGAGAGGATGAAACGAAGGAAAAAATCGGTCCCAGCAAGCCGAGTGAAATTCATCAGCCTCCTTCCATCCCCTCATCGGCTCCAAGTCTACCTAAACCCAGTCCTCCTGTCACAGCTGTGCCACGCCCACCTGTCTCTGTAAGTTGTTGTTCAAAATGGCTTAATGAAGACCAGAGAAGGATCACAGAGAATTTAAAAATGGAGTTAGGTTGTTAAAATTTTGAAGTTCTTATAGCGCGCTGATCATATGAACTGTTAACAGTAGTTTCTCTCCAAAAGTGATAATCAAAAATTCACAATAAAAAAAAATGGTTTTGTTATATAAACAGTTCTATACCAAAAACTAATTTGTATGGTCTTTAGTTTACTGGAGTCACTTTTTTTTTAGAAGCAGTGCAAAATATTTAAATCTCACTTTAAAAAAAAAAAAAACATCGTTAAGAGTTATTCTTTTCAGAATCTTAACTCTCTACCAGCAGGGACTGGGAAGCTTCATTTAGAGGATGAAAACATTGATAAAGCAAAATAAAGAGACCGTCCTGGAAGAAAATCTCCTTTGTTCTACTGACATTGATATTTGTGGTAATGTAGGAAAAGTTTAAGTGATACAAACTCTCTAATTTGCCCTTCAACAGGTGGCTCCTCCAGTCCGTACCACTCTGTTGTCTGCCGTACCTGTGATTCCACGGCCTCCGGTGGCCCCTGTGGTGCGTCTGGCGCCAGGTCAAGTCATTACACAGATGCCGCCCATGATTCCCGCTCCTCGTGTCAACGTGGTTCCCATGCCACCAGCGCCCCACCTCATGGCCCCCAGACCACCTCCTATGGTTGTTCCAACTGGTAAGCTCAAGGTTTCCCAGAATCGTCTTGAAAAATGTTCATCATTCACTTCCTTTTTTTATAGCTAAATCAAACCGTCTCTTCCTCCAGCGTTTGTCCCCGCTCCTCCCATGCCACAACCACCCAGCGCTGCCCCAGCGCCGCCCGTCCACCCGCCCCCTCCTCATGAGGACGAACCAATGAGCAAGAAGATGAAGACGGAGGACAACCTCATCCCAGAGGAAGAGTTCCTTCGTCGAAACAAGGTCCGTTAGTGACGGTGTATAGAGCTACACTGAATTATGTGCAGCTAAGATTATTTATTCTAATGAAGGTTTTAAGATAACCTGCACCGTGCAGAAGAACAACATAATCACCTTGATTTGAAAAAAAAAAAAAAAAAGAAAAATTTGTTTATCCTATATCTGGCTGCTTTTTAGAGAATTTTGGCCATAACGGATGGATATTTACTTAGTCACAGTGGATGTGTAACTTTTGTAACATGGAGCGTGTACAAACAAATTGAAATGTTCTTTGTTTTGCCACATTTCTTGCTGCATTTAGGGTCCTGTGGCAGTCAAAGTACAAGTCCCCAACATGCAGGACAAGACCGAATGGAAGCTAAATGGCCAAGTGTTGAATTTCACTGTCCCACTTACCGACCAGGTATGTTAATATATATCTTTTTTTTAAATGTGGGCTTGAAGATGTGCCCGTTTCAGACTTTTGGATAAATAAATGAAATGTGTTTACAGGTGTCTGTTATTAAAGTCAAAATCCATGAGGCAACAGGCATGCCTGCTGGAAAACAGAAGTTGCAGTATGAGGTAAGCTTCTCTCTTACTTCAGTGGAACGTTTTATTTAATCCAAATGAATCAGATTTACAGATTCGTAACAAACGTTTGTTTTACAGGGCATCTTCATCAAGGACTCGAACTCTCTGGCTTATTACAACATGACCAATGGTTCCATCATTCATTTGGCTCTGAAGGAGAGAGGTGGAAGAAAGAAGTGAGACCTTCGTCACAGAAAAAGTTAACATTACGCTACTTGTCCCTAGTACGTCGGTTTAGTTCAGGAGAACATTTTGGAAAAATGCTTGCTTTTTTTTTTTTTGTCAAAAGAAATATTCTAAATGTTATTTTGTCCTTTGATGGCATGTTGTTTCTAATTAGTGGTGATTTTTAGTTTCATCTCTTGATTTATCCATGACATATGTACACTGATATTGCCCTTACAAGTAAATTGCTCAAAAATATAGATTCCTGGCTTGCTTGCCCATTTTAAATAAAGGACTTAAAAAGTCATTTGTTGCTGTTTGACGTGTAATTTATTGTTCAGCCTTAACTCATAATGTATTTTGACAAACTGTACCACTGGTGGTACTTAGCCTTTTGTGAAATTCTATTTTTAAAATTGTTGCATCAACAAGGTAAACACAAAGCACATTGCCTGAATGATTCAGTGAGCTGGTGGCATGGGAGCCCAGTCAAGAATAGAATACAACAAAAACGACTTTAATTGCCCATCATTGGGGAAATTCAGAAAAGTTTTGAAGCACATCTGTCTTTGGATTTAAAAAGATACTTCTTCAAGGAGAGACGTCAAGAATTGCCCAGATGAAACTGAAACAGATAACAATGAACCAAATTACTGATGCTTACCTATGCCAATCTTTATGCACGCTCCAAAAAGTGTTCTTCCATGATTGTATGTAGTCATATCAATCTCCTTAACATCTTTCAACCACTTTCCTCTTCATGCTGAAAGAAAATCCCCACAGCAACATGCTGCCAACACCATGTGTCACAGGGGGAACGCTGTGAACAGGGTTGCACAGTCCAGACTTTTGTGTTGGTTTATCACATAAAATCCAAATAAAATGCTGTTTCTGTAATTTGGCCAAATCTGAAATAGTTCAAGCACTTTTGTACTCACAAAAAAGATGTTGGACGTCTGTTCATTCATTAAGGTTTAATAATAAATTACGAAAGTTACAGATATTATGGATATCCCTGTATTTCAGACATATGACAGCCATTTTGTATTTTAAGGTCCATGAGGGAAAATCTAGGTTTCCCTCATGGATGTCAGACTTTCATTTTTCTCAAGTTAAAAAGAGGACCAAGTTTACGTCAGAGTGTCTCTTTTTTTTCCCCTTTCGTTGCTTTTTACGAAAAAGCACAACAGGCCGTAAAGTATAAGTGGTGATGTAGTGCTGCTTTACAATGTCTTGACAGTAAAGTACTACTTGGAAAACACAGTGATGCTATTTATAACATTTAGAATCGGTGTAAATGGGCGCTAAAAAGTGAATTATTCTATTCTTTATTCAGCCACTAGGGGTAACCATAACATTACCTTAGGAAAAATCCAGTCAGGAGTGTGGATTTGGCTGCTCCCTGGTCGAGGCAGTCTGTCCAGCTGTACACTCGGAATGACAGCACAGCACATTATTCTAGTGTTAGCTGAGCTCAAAATAAGTTTAATTACATAGACGCCATGGGTTGTTAGGATCTGGAACATAGTTTTATATGATGTAACTCTGATGAGTCGAAGGTAGGGGCGGTCAGAAATAGTTTAGGGTCGTGTTGGTACGAGCGGTTAATGCTAACTAACAAATAGCTTGCTAATGAGGAATTTAATACAAGTTAACCGCGAAAGCTAACGGGTAAATTATTGAATGCGGTCCGATAAAAGAGGCTTTGGAACATTTTGCAACCGGAGCGGTTGTTGGGAAAGTTTTATTGAGATTTAGGAATCATGGCGTCGATGTAGTTTGACTGAGTTTGGGCTGTCAACAAGCTCGCTGCTGACGTTAGCTAACCCTGGCTAGCCAGCTAACTCTCCTGCCACCATGGCCAAAACCGAGAACGGCCGCCCGTCAGTGGACATGGGGAGCATCAGGACGCTGAACAGCAGCCACATGGAGGATGAGAGCTCCTTGGGATCCGACTCGGAGATCAACGGCTTCACCAGCGAGAGGCAAGCCGACAGATACGGCTTTATCGGAGGGGCGCAGCAGTACTCGGAGGAGTCGTAAGTTTGTTTCTGTTCGAATGGTGATTCAGTCCCACACAATGTTGTTTTGCAAGCATATTCTAAAGGAAACTGAAACATGGGAGTGGTGAAATCCTTTTCAGATTGCACAAAATGGGCATTGTGATACTTTTAATGTAGTTATGATGAAATGTCACAAGTCAGGGTGGTGATGTTCATTTGACTTGCATGAAGTGGAAAGCTCCGAACCAGCTGCGTGGCACAGCCTCTTTCTTTCTTTCTTTCTTTTTTTTTTTAATTTCAACTCCATCATGCTTCTCTTACTTTTGATAAATAATAATCGGATTTTGGTTCTCTAATATTAAGATCCACCAATAACAATCAGCAGAGATCTAGTCAATCACAGGGTGTACTTTTTTTTAATTATTCCACAGTATTTCAATCTGGATATCTGGTTTTAATCCAATCCACAGTCGATGCTATAGGATTTATTTGGATTGCATTGTGTTTTCTACAGAGGGATTTCTTCGCCTTTCATGGCAACGCTAAAACGGTGAAAGGAGTGAGTGAAAGCTGTGCCAGTCACTCCCCAGGTTCTCTTTCTGCAGTAGTGTTGGCAGGCGTAGAGCCCCATCTTCTGGTGCCCTTATACTAAAGGGCCTCTTTTGGCTCTGTTGGTCTCATACTTATGGGTTTGCTGACAGTGCTTGGCAATAAAAGGAACTTGATTGTTTAAGGGCTTTGAAAGCCTAAAAGGGAGCATAACTTCTTGTACTTGTGCACCACATCCAGCCTACACATTTAGCTGACTGAGATCTCTCCTGTGTCTGTGCGTATGTGTGCTTTCTTAAAGTTTACTCTATGACTGAGTTTTAACCCTGCTATTACAGGCTTGGGCTGATGAGATAATTACACACCTCAGTAAAGCATTAGACATCATGGGTAATGTTAGCTTTGACCAACTTAACGTCTTCATTTCTGTTGGAGAACTTTCTCATTTTATTCTTTTGCATAAAATCACTTCAGGTCAGTTCTGAAGCTGTTTAAGTCGGATTCATCCGAGTACGTTTGTGTTTAGTTGTGAACGTGTAAAATCAATAATAATCTGATCCAAAACAACGGAGATGCTTCACTTGATTGGTTTTCATTTGATCAAATACCACTTTTTATTCTTCCTGTTAATTAATACACATTACAGCTCATAACTCCCACCATTTCAAGTCTTTAAACACATCAACCAACCGCGTACACTTATTTGGCCTATTTAGAGTTTAATAGAAAATAAAATCAAGATACAAAAATGTTAATAATTTTGTGTTACCTTCATTTTTTTTTGTTTGATTCATGCAATCCCTATCAAAGATCTTGCAACACATTTTTCTCTTTTTAAAATATGTAGCAAAAAGGATGACCACTTAAAGATCATTTGCTTATATTTTTAAATGATTTATTTAGTTAAAAATAATGTTTCATGTGGCAGATGTATTCACTATAGATTTGGTATGAAGATTGTCAGCGTCTTCATAATCGTGAGTAAAATAACATGCAGTTTTATGATGCGTTTGGTGTTTCCACAAATTGTTTAAATTAAAATGTATAGCGTGCTATATTTTATATTTAAATGTAAGAAAATTAAACTTACTTTAATATTGTCCTTATTTATTGTTTGATGTATGAACTTAAACAAAAACAAAAAAAAAAGAAAATGGGATTTGCACAAATTAAATTTGGTAGTTTTCAAGTGGCTAGAGTGTAGAGTATTAGAGATTTGCCAGTCTGCATAACAACATTGCTGCGTGCAGATTTCCAAATGTAATTTTAATTATGTTACATAAAAAAGTGTGGGTGGCGCGCCTTTAGTTTCCATGTCATCAACTGTTTCTTGTTTTATTGCAGCCAAAAATATGTCCAAGGAGGCTAATTTGTCTTTCTTAGCAAGGAAAAAATACAGTAGTAGCTTTTTCAGCCAGCTGAATGGCAGTCATTAAAAGGCTTATCAGCCCCAGTAGCATGAACTTTTTAAAACCTTGGTTTATGCTTCTCCAGCCTGTGTCTTGGCAGACATTGCTCATACTTGTCCAAATTAAACATGATTTTTCTTTCTGTGTGTTTTGTGTATTCATTCGTATTTTGCATCCTTTTCACACCCCAGCGCTCAGGACGTCCCCCCCGAGGTGCTGAGGCAGCGCGAGGTCAAGTGGCTGGACATGCTCAGCCACTGGGACAAGTGGATGATCAAGAGGTTCAATAAGGTCAGCACCTGCTATTAAAACTTGCCAAGTCGGTCATTTGTGTGTCTCGAATCGTGTTGTTGTCGGAGCCCGAGCTTCCATCTTTGTTGCTCCGAGGATTTTTAATTGCGCAAGCCGAGACTTTATGGACTTATTGTTTGCGGATCCACTTGTCTAGCAAGTTCTGTGTGAACCGGTCTCTGCGACTTAGCGACGGGCTGGAACGTCACCTCGTTTCCATGAGTCAGCAGCAAGCCAGGACACAGCCCTGTGTTGTTTTTGGGGGGTTTTAAATCACACTGCAGCATGTGACAAAATGCCTGTTTCAGCTGCAGGGTGGGGCCGTACTTACTTTCTATGAGAGAACCGTGTAATAAAGGTGCCGTAAATGTAAACTGCCAGTGTACCACAAGCGTGCACGGCTTTGGGGTTTGTTTTATTGAAATGACTTGTTACTATTAAAAATAAACTTTTCTTCAGAAGCATACAGGAATCATCTCAGGGACTGATGGTAATGCAGATAAGACCACAATGTGAAATGTGCTCAGTTTGTTGCCTCGTGTACGGTTTGATGTTGTTATCCATGAAAGATCACAGCTCCTGTAATTAGAGAAATTACATAAGACGCATAGTGCTTAAGCTTTTGTTGCATTCCTGAGGACGCTGACGGCACAGTTTGGTCCAACAAAGGTCAACATAATCCTCCCTCAAGGTCCCAGCCAATCAAGAAGCTGTGCTCTGTGTGTTTTGTATGCCTTTAACAGTTTTGGCCCACCATGTTCTTTTTGTCCACTTGCTGATCTCAGTTCTTTATCCAAATTTTCTTTTAAATTTAAATAAATCTGAATGTTATTAAAACTTCAAACTGAGGGCTCATATGCAGTCTTGCAAAGTCTCAAAATATAATTTTCCAGTTCTGGAGAACTGCACAGATGTATCTTAGATGAACTACTGCAGTAAAAATAAAGTGAGCCTCGTGTATAGCTTGACCAGACGGTGCTATGGGTCAGTCATTGATTTCTGTTAATTTTGATGATTGATGCTTATAAAAACACAAAGTTCGTTGTTAATTAAAATATTACATAAAACCAATAAGAGGGAAGTTTTACTGTCCTGAAAAATATGCCCAACATGTTCCTGGTAGACGTCTCCTCTCACTACGGACCTGCTGAAGCCCAGCGGACCAGCAGCGTCACTTCATGGCTCCCTTAATCATTCCTGACTGAAAACGTCACATTGAACCATGGATTCTGTGCCTTTCCACTCTTTGGCCATAGTTTCTAAATAAAATCTGAAATGTTCTTTCATCTGAAAAAGGGACTTTGAACCGGTCCTGTCCTTTGTCTGTTGGACCCATACGAGACCCTTCTAATGTTGTGTCTTATGCACAAATTGAGTGCATTCCCTCTGCTTGTTACATTTATGTGTCCTGGCACTGGAAACACCAACTCCAGCCACATTCACACCTTTTTTTATGTCAGCATCACGTTTTCTGAGAAACTGAATTAGACGTTTCCTTTAGCTGTAAGCTATTAGCATCGCCATTTACAGAAATAAAAGCGTGAGAGATGTCAAACTCTGTGTAATTAATGTGACAGAAGCAGCCTGAGCAAAAAAAAAAAAAAAAAAACATATTATTTTAAAAAACAGTCTGTTTTGTGACATTAATTGCTATTTAAATGTCATATTTTCTTTGGTTTATCACGTTGCCACATAAACTTACTCAGTAATGAAGTCCAATCTAATGAAGAATCTGTATGTAGGCTTTTTTTATCAGTTTCGGTTTCATGTTTTCTGGTTTGTGGAACATAAATTACAGACAATAAAACCCAATCAGATTGTTCCGAAAGCCGATGGGGAAAATACAGAAATGTAAATATGTAGCAGTTTAGAGTTTGAACGCAGAAGCGCATACATTTTAAACATTTCACATCAGTCTCTTTAAAGCTTGCTCTGACTGTAACTGCTTAGTAATATCCTCTATTTTTAAAGTTGCAGGCTGTGATCAAAACCAGAAAATTTCTTTAAGTCAAAAAAATAAAGAAAAGAAAAGGAAAGAAAAGAAAAGAAACCATAACTAAGAATTAAGGTTCTTCCTTTAGGTTTTAAAGATGCAGTTCATAAGTGTTTCATTGACTTTTGTTCAGCGTTGACCCACTTGCTCTTTGGTCGATGTTTTTATTCAGTAAAATCCAACTTCTGGTTCAGGTGAGACTCCGCTGTCAGAAGGGGATTCCTCCCGCCCTGAGAGGCCGCGCCTGGCTCTACCTTTCAGGAGGGAAGGTGAAGAGGGAACAGAACCAAGGAAAGTTTCAGGTCTGTCAACTTCTTCTTTCACTTCCTCCTCTTCTGTTCTGTTGTATTTTGGCCTCATTTCTTTTATATATATATATATTTCTCTGGAAATTTTTACTGAAACTGAACAGCTTAGATCTACAGTTAGATATTTGTGTCTACAATATCTAATTGGTTTACAGTTTGAATGCAGCCTAAGAAATCTTTTGATTCCCTCTTAATAATTCTGACATTAGTAAAGCTTAAAAAAAAAAACATTCATCTCTGAAGTATATTCCTTATATCTTCATGCGGTAACTGGACAGAAACCGTCTGATTTCCGATTTCTGTTCTGTCAGGAGCTGGACAGTCAGCCAGGAGACCCAAAATGGCTCGACGTGATTGAGAAAGATCTCCATCGACAGTTTCCTTTTCACGAGATGTTTGTGTCGCGAGGAGGACACGGGTGAGTAATCGGATGTGTCGGGGTCTGACCTCACACTTTTAATTAGCGATTGTGTCTTGTTTGACAGAGAATGTGATTAAATCCTGCGTCTGTTTGTGTTTCGGCCCTGCACAGGCAGCAGGATCTGTTTCGTGTTCTCAAGGCATACACTCTGTACAGACCGGAGGAGGGATACTGCCAGGCCCAGGCCCCTATTGCTGCTGTTTTGCTGATGCACATGCCTGCTGAGGTATCACCTTTTTTGCATGTGCATAAATCAGATGTTGTTCTGATGAAGATATTTTGCAGTTAAAAATAGTTGGATTGCAGGATTTGCGTTGAAGCGGTGAGCTGTGATGGGTTTTTTTTTTTTCTGTTTCTGAGGTCAGCAGCATGATGATAAACTGTACAAGTCATGTGATGCCAGAAAAGTGAGCAACTCTAGTGACAAATACTACATCTGTTTTAAGCCTTCTGTTGTACATTAGTGAAGCAAAGACGCTAATCATCTTGATCAGTGGTTCGACAGCTTGTTGTTTCCTGTTTCTGATGATTCGTAGTTGGTTTCCAGATCTTCGTCAACCACTTTATCTGACATATTCACACACACGCTTATGTTTCAGTTCCTCATTCAGAGTTATGGTATCGTAAATAAAGACGACATTGAATGATTGTAAATACCAAGTGTTCTCAAAGTGATTTAAGGATGAGGAACTGGTCTCCACATGATCGTTTTTATTGAGGATTTGTTTTTGCACACTCATTCTAGGCATGTTACCTGTATTTAGGTTACAGTGCTTTCTGGCTATTTTCAGATTTCTGCTTCTTTTTTTCTTTTTCTTTTTCTTTTTTTTTGTCAAATTTAAATGTTTCTTATTATTAAATACTTGTTAATTCCAGACAGAAATCACTTGATTATCTGCAAAATTCAGTACTGGATTGAGGATTGCATTTTTAAAAGCTATTCAAACCAACTTGATTCTATAAAAAAAAAAGAATCACCTCCCTTGTTTAATCATCAACTCATTTTAATTAACTTCAGTTTTGTGCGTGTTTAGTTTAGTTTTCCCAGCTACACCCTGGCCTGTTTCCTGTAAGTCCCCTTGCAATCAAGAAATCTCTTCAGTATAAACATCAATACATGTCTGGTTTTATATGAAGTTCGCTAAAAGATCTCTATAAGCAACACGTCATGCCTTGATCTAAAGAAATTTAACAGTTCAGAAAACGAAATCATTCTATAAAGAGTTGCAAAGCCACGACTAAGGCTTTGGGGCTGCAGAGAACCAAAGTGTTCACCAAAGGACCAGGTTTTCACATTGAGAAAACCTGGAACAGTGGCCAGAAAACATCTAGATTATCCTCAAGACCGTTTCCAAGGTGAAACGTTTTGGAAGATGCGTGCGACATGGTGCTGGCAGTATGGTGGCGTGGGATTGCTTTGCTTGTTCTGCACCTGGGTGACTTGAATGCTCTCGATCAGAAATCCTGAATGTCCAGGAATCAGTCTGTGACCTGAACCTCAAATGTTCTCCTCCAGTGGGGCTGAATTAATCAGATCCTCCACAGAATAGTGAGCCAGAGTTCCTCCACAGCAATTAAGGAAACTGATTGCCAGTTGTCTCAAATGCTTGATTGCAGTTATTGTTGCTGAAGGGCGACTCAACCAGTTAGGTTTAGGGAGCAATTAATTTTAATTTTTTATTTTTTATTTACAAGGGCTACAAGGCTATTTTTTTGTCACTGTATTAAGTGAAATAATTTGAAAACAGCATTTTGTATTTACTCAGGTTTTCTTTGTAAATAAAATGTGTTTTATAAACAGAAGAAATCTGAAACTCCATAATTCCCCTTTGAGATATAAAGATGCTGCTCTTGTGACTCATTTAGGATTATTGGACAATTAATTACTTTCTCAGCAAGCAAGTTGTGCTGCCATTTTATTTGCATACTTCGTGTGATATAACAGTCATGATGATGTTCGTAATGGTTTCTACGGGGATGCTCTGTTTGTTTCGGCAGGATGCTTTCTGGGGATTGGTCCAAATCTGCGAGAAGTATCTTCCTGGTTACTACAGCCCAGGCTTGGTGAGACCGATATAAGAATGCATACACAGTATGACATCACCTGAATCAGGTTGGGTAAACAAAGGAAGTAATCTCAGCACACATGGACAAGTTCTAACAATACTGACACCGTACGGCGGGATTGTTGTGGCTGAAGCTCTCGGATGAAACTGTGAAGTTTTTTTTTTTTTGTTGTTGTTTCATACATTTCTTATTTTTACGTCTCTTAGGAAGCGATCCAGTTAGACGGAGAGATCCTGTTTGCTCTGCTGCGCCGCGTCTCCCCACTAGCCTTCCGGCACCTGGAGAAATATAAGATCGACCCCATCCTGTACATGACTGAGTGGTTTATGTGTGCCTTCTCCAGAACCCTGCCCTGGGCTTCAGTGCTGCGTGTCTGGGACATGTTCCTCTGTGACGGTAAGAAGCGCCTCAGTGCGCCTTAGCTCTGGAACTAAGCATCCTAGCTGAATCTCTCCCCCCACCCCCCTTTTTCTCTCTCTTTCTCTCTCTTAGGAGTCAAAATCATTTTCCGGGTGGGTTTGGTGCTGCTTAAGTGCACACTAGGGACTCGGGAGAAGCTGAAGACCTGCCAGGGTCTGTACGAAACCATGGAGCTCCTCCGGGCCATCGACCCTCGCTACATGCAGGAGGGATTCCTGGTCCGAGAGGTAAGAGCAGAGGCCACGGACGTTCCTCCTCCGTGTAAAAATCACGAGAGGCGATTTTATAACAAGTGGTGGCAGATGAGATTTATGATTTTATTTTTCACATTGCTCTCTGAAGTGGCGGTTTCTCTGAACTAAATGCTGTGTCGTAACTTGCTGCTGATGTCAAACTTGAAGGGAATGTCTTCGAATGGAATCGGCGTGTCCAGCAATATTTCATTTAAATAGTTTATTATGAATAATATTGCAAGCAATATTTCATGACCATATTGAACCAGTTCAGATCCTTCTCTGAGGCCGTGAACAATTAAATTAGGGAATTAGATTTCATCTAGACGTATAAAAATCTTAATTATGGACTCAAAAAAATCCTATTTTGAAGCATTACGTTTAAGCCTTGCTAGTAGCACCTTGTGAAATTCAGGTAGGGTAGAAATTTCAAACAAACCGCTTTGCTTTAAAGCTGAAAGGAAATTCCCAATCAGCCGACATGTTGGAACGGCTTTTACACAAACGCTTTAGGGCGCCGTATTGCAGCACAGCTAATTTAAAGAAATGGAGCTCAGATGTTAACTCTGCTCAGCGATCATGACGGTTAAAACAAAACCTCTATTTTTGTTTTAACCGTCATGAGGCTTTCCAGTACTTGAAAGCCTCTCGATGTGATATGCTGGAGATGCCAAGATACGACACATGGAGGTAGGGCTGGACGATACGACTGAGAAACGCATCACGGTGTAAGGGCTTCATATCTGTTGATATTTCTAATTATTGATTAGTTTTTTCTTTTTAAATATTTGAAAGAGTGGCATTCTGGTGGCATGTTTTATCCACAGCATCACTCCATGCCGGTGTTTTTATTGTTAAGCAGTTATGAGACACGGTGGCCAAACCTGAAACTGCTCCTACGCAAGTTACTCAACAGGTTGTTGCTAGGTAACCGAAGAGAGAGTGAGTGGCTTGATGCCACCAACGCTGCTTAGCTGGCTGTGAGAGGTTGCGCGGCTAAAGCCTTTCCCTCTCCCTACATCCCCCATAATGCTGTGCTGTTCTGGATCGGAGTTCAGTGAAATTATTGAATATTATTAGTATTATCTGTTGATATTGGTCAAATGGGAAAGCACTCGTTTTCTGCATTGATTTTGACTTTTGATCGTCACGGTAACAGCTTCATATCTATCTTACGACGCGTTGCAAAAATATTCGTATGCATAAAAACTTCACAAGTAATGCGTTTTATTATGATTTCATATGAAAGGTCCTACATAAAGTATTGCACAGCTCGGAAGTGAAAGCAAAATGCTGCAGTGTCTGCAGCCTAACATTTGTCTGCAAGGCATGGATCGTTCGGTTTCTTCCGTCGGCCCAGTCTTACCAACAGCGGTTTCTCAATGTGGGCATGAAGTTTGAAAGAACAAAAGGATGTCACGGATTTAGAGAAGAGTAGAGTCTGAGAGTCAGTTAACTTGACAAGAACCAGACCTATTGAGCAGAGCGCCACATGGGCAGTGTCTGCTCACGTACTAAGCTGTGTAAGGGCCTCTGTCTACTCTAACAATAACGGCTCTCATGTATAGGGCCGTCTCCACTGTGGGTGACCGAGTATCCACAGCAGCTTGCTCTCCTTTGACATTTACTGACAAAGGAGAAGTTCACGATTCTAGCATGAACAGTCTAACATGGATGGGATTTATTTTCCAATGTGGGCTCCTCCGACTTTTTTTGCCCCACACTTTCCTAATGACGTCTGATCTGTTTTGTTTTGTTTTTTTCCCCCCGATCTTTTCAGATTCTCGAAGTGCCCGTGACAGCGCGGGACGTAGAAAAAGAGCATCACACCCAGGTCAAACGCTGGAAGAAGAACCGCGGCGAGCTGAACTTCAAGCCCGCCCCGAGGATGCATGGAGCCCGCATCATCATGCTGGCCGAGCCGCCCAGGCGCCAGGACCTGCAGCAGAACCCCACCATCGTGCTGGAGGTTCCCGAGCCTCCCCAGAAGCTGAACAAGGGCAAAGAGGAGCGGAAGAGCAAGAAGAAAAAGAGCATGAAGAAACCGACCGCCCTCGAGGAGATCCCAAACCCATACCCTCTCCCCACAGATCCGCCTTCTCAATCTTTGAATCCTCCTCCGCCATCTTTGAATCCTCCTCCGCCATCTTTGAATCCTCCTCCGCCATCTTTGAATCCTCCTTCGCCATCTTTGAATCCTCCTCCGCCATCCTTGGCTACGCCTCCACCAACCTTTGATCCGCCTCCACCAACCTTTGATCCGCCTCCACCAACCTTTGATCCGCCTTCTCCATTCTTGGATCTGCCTTCTCCATCCTTGGCCCCGCCTCCCCCATCCTCGGATCCACCCTCTCCGCCTCAATACGCCAGCGTAACCCCGGAGACCTCACCAGAAACTGAAACGAACTCCAATCACCAACAGAGCACGCCTCCTACAGGCCTTCCTGCTGCCAAAGAATCTGCTCTCCAGCAATCCACACAAAGCCTTAGCAGCTCAGAGCAGGATACATACCTGTAGCTGTAAAAGCTGCACAGCCGTGTGTGTGTGTATGTGTGTGTTTTCATATGTTTGTGTGTGTAAAAAGCACCAGCACCCTACAATCAAAAAGCCAGCCTCGCCGACGTCTCCCAACCGGCCAGCATCCTCGTTAATCTTAGCGCTGGACTTTTCTCCTTTTTTTTGTATTCATGTTAAACACACGTTTTCCTGTATTATTATTCACATACTCTAAAAACGTACGTGCAAAGTGTACAACTACTCAAATCCTGTTAGTTGACCACGTCAAGCTGCAGCTTCCACGTGAGATGCTGAATGCTCACTGCAAGTCTTAATTTTCTGTTTAAAGCTGTCAAGTTACAAAGTGTTTGTCTTTGTGGATCAACGTAGAAGGTGCCAAAGTTATGCAACTTCCGCTCAAGCTCAACACTAGTAATTTAACAGGTGACACGGTGCAACCAGCACACAAGACGTTTCTGGTTTAGTCCACCAGAGGGCAGCCTCACACAACCTCACCCTGTTTTTCCACATTGCTAGGACAACTGACCACAGTACTGAGTCACTAAATGTGCTCTCTTTTTGTATTTGCTTCTCACAAACATTTTTTGCTTTCAGTCGAACTGATGTGCCGCGAATATCTCCCGAGTTCATCGTCTTCCACCAGCAGGTTTCTACGTTGTTGGACAGGAGAAAACGGGACATTCCTCTTTGACACATTCCTGCCTTCTTAAACGCTATTCACTTCGGAAGCTGTCTCTTGTAGATATGCAGATCTGTGTAACGTGGGCATGTGTGTGTGTGTGTGTGTGTGCACACGCAACTCCCATCCAAACACGATCAGTGAATGACTGCAGATCACCTGTTGGTGCTGACCTTTGCTTTTTACGTCACTTGAGAATTTGTAAGAATGAAGGTCAATTTTTTGGGGAACTTTTTTTTTTTTTTTTTTTTTAGTTTTCTACAGCTAGATCTTCCAAAGAAAAACAAGACTGTTCTGAGACTTATCCGTGATATCGTGCTGCGTTCACGGTCAATGGGGATTATGGGATTTCCACATGGGAGATTTGTAGCTTTTTTCTATGTAATTACTTATACGAAGACCTTCAGGGGTTGTGAGGCTTTTTTTTTTTTTTTTTTTGTATTTCCTCTTTCAAAACACAACAATCCATGTCAGTCCAGCTCTTGTTACTTTTATCACTAAATGTAAGCACACACTTGTGGATGTGAGAGTGTATAAAAACGTCAAATATATATATATATGTATATATATATATATATCTGTTAAAAAAAAAAAAACTAACGCAGTGAGGGTTAGGATATGTGACATCTGTATGCAATTTCTTTTTTTCACATTTGTCTTCTGTGTTTAAATGCTTTTTTGTGTAGATATGACTTGTAAAAAAAGATTTTTGTCTTTAAAAAAAAAAGCATAATGCTGAATTTGTACTGAGTGGTTAAAGAAACAGACTTTAAGTCAAAGTAGGCCAATTTAACACTAGAAAAAAGGTTACAATATGGAGTTTGCAGGAAACTTGCTACTTTTTTTTTTTACTCCAAAAAGATTTTTCTTTTCCTTTTATTTACACTAGAGATACAGGAGATGTGTGATTAACACGGAGGCTTGAGTTTTACAGTTGCGGGGAAAAATGTCTTTGGTTATTCTCGCCTGAAACATTTGTTGCAAGTTTGATTGCCAATAGTGCAGTGTGCCCTGCTCACCAGCAGATGGCAGACAGGAGTCACTGCTTTGATCTGTCCTCCACTGTGGGTTACATTAATTTTTTTTTTTTTTTTTTTAATACAGTTGCACCTTTTTATAACTAGACGTATGGATAAAGTTAACTGCATATTTCCATTACATTTGTAAACATGCTACAGCTGAGGTTGATGTTACAGCTCTCATTTTGAATAAAGTCTATAAATGCATTTTGACTTGCTGTGTATGGGGCCAGCTCCTGACCTTTTTGTTTCTGAATTAAAAAGAAAACCTACATCATTACTGCCTGTTTCCACACATAAAATAGTTGAGATGATACATCTTGAAAATGATGATGGCATTTTATGTCAGGAGAAATTACCCTGTAACATTTTATTACCAATATCAGCTTAATTTAGTCTCTGTAATGCCAGTCTGTATTATGCCAAGGCTGTCATCTCAGGCAGGGATATATGGTACTGAATCTTATTTAGGGGTCCATGATATTTAACACATTGTCTACTAAATTAATTATTTAAGCATTTATTTTATGGCACATTTGATTAATGTCTCTTTAAACTCTTCATATTTCTCCTCCTCTTCAGAGCAGTAGTTTATGGTCCTTATTTAGACCAGGGGTCTGCAACCTGGGCCCTCAAAAGCATCTCTTAATAATTTTGGTCAATGATTAATTAGATCTGTGTAGTGTTTTAACTAAAGTAGACTTTTCATAGTTTTCTGTCATGTGGTGTAATCTATGCATAGAAAAATCTATGACAGAATGACATTAAATAAAAAAAAAATACATTTTTTTTTTGTTTGCATGTTTATCAGTTGTCTATAAATTAGGGTCTTCCTTTGACTAAAATGCATGTGTTTCTGCATTATGATTTTGATTCCAACTAAATCAACCGTTTTTGGGTTGTTTTTTTTTGGAAGTGAATAAAAAAAGATAATTCAAAAAGAAAGCTCAATAATATTAAACCCAACTGCTCAACAGAAACTCAGCAACTTCAAGGAGGAAGTGTAGAAATCAGGTTCTGCTTCCTATAAATATTGGCTTTCTTTCTTTTTCTAAGACTTTTACGGCTCCAGACAATTCTTATTAACTCCGAGTGAGAGCAAAACATTTCCTTTTTGCTTTGTGAACGGTTTCCGACTTCTGGTTTAGACTAATGACAGGTTGCTATTATTTTCTCAATTCACCCTTTGAGCTCTCAAAATGCTCCTTTTCTCCGCTTCAGGGTGAGAGATATTAGAGTTTCTGCCTCGGGCTTCAAAGAGTTCAGTGCAAATTGCAGCCTTGATGACCTCAATAAGCCTGTTAACTCATTCCTAATCGTCCGGCAAGGTGTGAGCTGCAGCTGTTGACCGGTGGTCAGCAGGAGGTGAGCAAAGTGATTAACACAGGCAGCAACTTGCAGGAAATTTAGAAAGTAGCCATTTTTTTAAAAAAGTGTCTGAAACGTTCGATTTTCACAGCATCACACTCAGGTGTGTGAAAGCATTCACTCCCCTTTGTGAACTTTTTCACATTTTGCCACGATACATCTCCAAATGATTTCATGTTGGTGCACAACTGGAACAAAGGGTCATGCTGTGGGGATTATTTCTGCAGGATGGACAGAAAGCTAGTTGTAGTTGAGGTAAAGGTGAGTGAAGCTAAACTCTGGGAAAAACCGAAATAAAACTTGAAACTGGGGCAGAGAGGTTCTCCTTCCAGCAGGACGACGACGTAAACAAACAACCTAAGCTGCAATGGAACGATTAACGCTCAAAGTGGAATGGCCCAGTCAAAGCCCAAAAGACAAGCCAGTTGGGAATCTGCAATAAAGCGTGAAAATTGCTGCCTGATGATGCTGTCCATTCCAGTCTGCTTGAGCCGTTTTGCAAAGAAGACACTGTTCCGTGTCTGAAACGCCCAAGTGGCTACCGTCCATCACAGAGTAATCGATGCGATCGTACCTGACGTCTGATTTCACCTGAGCCGTCAGGAGGACATGATGGCGCCTGCTGGTGTTTCCCCCCCCACATAAGGCACAGCAACAGTTAATGCCCGAGGTCCCTGTGAGGAATGCATGCACCGTCACGCTTTTCCTCTTTGCATCGGACACCTGGCCCTCTTTTACTGCCACCGTGCCATTTACATCTCAAAGGGGGGTGACCAAGAAGGCTTCCTCTGTGCTCACCCTTCCTCACCCCAGAAATGATCTGATTTATCTCTTCATCAACGGAAATATACGCCTTTCGGAGGGCCACTCAGCGGCTCTCATCCCCAGCTAATGAAGACGGTGGACAGAGCGGGAGGGGATGGGTTTGGGTGGGTGGGGTGGGGGGGGACAAAAAGAGGGACTTGTGATCCTTCATGTGATCCCAGGGCCCAACGGACCCCTTGTCACAGTGCTTGATTCATTTGACGCGGGTGACTTTCTCTCGCTCTCTCCTCTCCCAGGCTCGTTGTGCTGAGGCACAGGGGAGGCGGTGGTGTGTTTGGGGGTGAGGGGGGGGGGGGGGTGGGGGGGTTGTTGGCGGGGAAATAACAGTGAGCAGCAGCGCATGTGTTCCTGATGTATCCGATTCCCACGTTTGATGGAGCATGACAGGTTGGCTCAGGTCAGATTAGAAGGCCGCAGTAACTAATATGGAGGGGGGCGACACTGGGATCGTCTGTGCAGGTGAACTCTCTGCAGCAGAGGAGAATAAAAAAGTTATTTATGGCACTGAGGGAAAACATCAGTCTTTTGTGCAAGCCACTTTAAGAGGAGGGCTCTCTATGCTTGGGTGAATAGCCAAAGCACGCTTCTGTCCTTTTATCTTCCGCTTTTAAGATTACAAATGAGGTTTTTCTTATACGCTCACAGACCTACAGGAGAGTTTCTGACTTTTATTTTCAAACGCTGAGAGTTTTCTAGACATGAATTGAGGTGCGTCTGGTCTCGGGACTCGCCGTAGAGTTCTGGAAACACGACAGCTCTGCAAATGTTTTTCCATCCTGCGGCCCCTGCGAGCCACGTTAGACCAACGTAAACGGAGACCACTGTTAAATGAGTGCTTGGTAATGTTTGCAGCGACGCAGACCGAGACCTTTTTTTCTTTTCTTTTCTTTTAACTTACAAGTTCATGCCTGCTTTTGGAAACGGGCACTTGGCATCCCATCAGTTTCCATTTTAGAACTTAATCTCCGCTAAGGCTCCACAAATGGCTTCACATATTACTTGCTTAGCTTGTAAATATACCGTGGAATAACACCCGAAAATTCTCCCGGGTGCATTTTAGTGTTTTAAATATCATCACAGTTCTCATTCCAGCCGTTCCCAGAGGGCACACTCCTTTAAGGAATGCATGGAAATCATCGGCACGAGGGAGGGATGAAGAGGGTGCTGAAGTTTTTCAAAACAGCAAGATCCAAGACGGTTGGTTCAGGAGGTTTAAAATGACTTTCTGTTATAAAGTTTTAAGCTGCCACAGCTCGTCCGAGTTGGGCCGAGAACAAAGCGGGCTTCCGTTTTCACCTCAGAAACATCGTTCCACTTCACAAAAGGCTAACGTATTAATCCGGTAGATGATTTTAGGGAAAAGTCATATGCAGGAAATGGAGCTTGGAGGCAGTGTGCCATTAATGATGTTCCTGTGTGAAACAGAGAAAAGTTGATATAAAGTGTTTCCAGTCAGCATAATTAGCTGGGAGAAGAGTACCGTTCATAAAATCTGTAGTGGCGATTGTTTGTCAAACCAAACATCCAACAAAGTTCCAATAAGCCACTGAGACACTGGGGTCAAGTATTTTAACGCAGGCAAAGAAGGTTTAGGATCCAACTTGTAACTTGTTGTTCATGATTTATTTTGACATCTTTGCAAAACAAAAAAAAGGAACAATTACAGAGTTCAAACGTCCTTTTGTTTTCTCTGCTTCCTTGCACTGGTAACACCCATAGGCCCCTAACCCAAATGCCTGCTGGTCCTTTACCAGGCCCCTACATTTATAGAAAGCGGGCCAACCCGCATCGCTTCCTGTTTACTTAAAAAATATCAATAAGAAAAATAATAAAACAAAAGATAAATTAAATCAACAATTATTAACTTACAAATAAATTCTGTAAATAATACAAAAAATATACATTTAAGAACAAACTAACAAAATTCAAATGGATAAAGAATATAAACAATAAATAGCTCCAACACTCTATAAAATAGCATTTAGTTAAACCATTATAATATATATTTTTTTGCTTTTTACATTGTTCTTGTTCTTTACTTTTAATATAATTACAGCCATTTACCCTGACTGGAAATACTTCACACGTTACTTTCTCAGTGCGTGTTTCACTCAGGAAGATCATTAGTGGTGCACTGCTTTCAACCCCCCACTCACAGTGTACATGATTATTGGCTGCTTTGTAAATCCTACTCAAACGATATGATGACTTTACATTTTACAGTTTCTATGTTTTTTTTTTTTTTTTTAAGACATTGTAAGTCCACTTTGTTCTTGGAGTTTCCCAGAGTAGAAATTAGCTTAACCTTCCGGGGCCAACAGACCTGGATTTTTAGTAAACATGGAATCCATGAGAGTTTTCATCGGCACATCATTTATGAACCCCACTTTTAAAAATCTAGACTTGTTCTGTTAAGACTCTTGCTTTTTCTTTTTTTTTTTTAAGAACTTCAGCTTTTGTCTTTTTGGTTGTCAGCTTCACTTATTGCACTCTTTTAGCACAAATTGCCTTTAATATTCCTGAAGCACTTTCCTTGCCTTAATGTACGCTTTACAGTCTGATAAGTACATTGTAGGTAAGGTAAGGTGAGATAAGATAATTTCATTCACAAAGCACATTTTCAGCAACAAGGCAATTCAAAGAAACAGGTAAAGAGACAAGCTTCTGAATCTCTTCACTGAACCTGCTGATGTCAGAACAGTTCTTCAACACAGGCCTTAAACCCCTGCTTTCAAATCTTATGAAGCAGAAAGCGTCTGTGTGACGCCACATTCAAACATGGGGGCGTGCCGTAAATAAAAGGCAAGTGAGGCGCACTGAATGGCTCGGCTATTGCTGCCCGCTCCCGATGCGCCCACGGGGTATTTCTGCTCCAAACGACGGGCGTGTTTGGGTTACGTCGGGGGGGGAAACGTTGCACACCTGCATGGCTGCCACACTGCTTGAAAAGTTTCAGTCGTTTCATCTAATCTTGGTCACTTGTCTTCCCCGCAACCCCCTTATCCCTGCAGCACC